TTAAATAAAATTCAATTAGTCAATCTAGAATTTTTATATTTATTCTTGACTTTCTTGAGAATTAGTTTTCTCATCTACAAAAAGAGAGTTCATTCATTTGTTCACAAATATTTACTGAATGCTTAGTATGTGCCAGGCATTGGTTTAGGCTTTGGGAACACAGTGGTAAATAAAACAGGTGCAGTTCCTGTCTTTATGGTGCTTATACTCCAAGGAAGATCATTCTTACTATCCCATAGAATTGTTCAGAACACTGGATGTTATTGTAATTAAGTGTTTTGTGAGTTGCAAAGTGCTATATAAACCCAAGGTTCTTGAATGTGATGACTGTCTTATTCCTCTTTTTATCTCCTGTAATTCAGTAAGTTTTAGTAAATGGTGATTTGAGTACAGTGTTTCAACACTGCAACATTTGACCACTAGAGGTCCTTGACAGATACCCAACTCTAATCCATTCTACCTATTATATTCATTCATTCCAATATAACTTGTGAGATAGTTTAGCAAAAAACACTTAAGAAAGTTGGTCCTATTAAATGAAAAGGTGTTAATTATAGTAGGTAATACATGTTATGTGCCCACAAATCACACAATTATTAGTGTGCTGTTCCTGGCCGAATACAGAAAATTAAGAAATGTTGTATGTTAATACTTTATCACTACAGTCTCTCAAAACAAACCCCTTCATCACCATACATGATTGTTTCAAACTAAATCAAGGCCTACATAATTTTTAATGGCTTCATGATCTTCTATCTTGTGGTCATATCAATATTAATGATGTGCTATGATTAACACATTATAGCTAAATCTTTGTGTGTATTATCTCTTCAAGATCAAGTCTTATTGTGCTTTTCTACAAGAATAGTATATCTATAAAAAACAGCTTAAATTTAATAAAACATGTCTTCATATTTCTAGATTTACTGAAAAAAATTGTTAATATTTTCCTATTACCCAAAATTTCATAAAATAAGTTTAAAAATTTTACATTCTCAAATGGTTAGAAAATTTTAATAAATATTTTGCCTACGTACTGTTTTGCTTTTTCCTTTTTTCTTTTTTTGGTGCCGGGAGCCGGTCCATGCTTGTTGTTTCAAGGGACCTGGCATATATGGCATACTGTTCTTAATACGTTTGCTCACCTTCTTGGCACTATGTGTTTTAACCAAGGTCACCTCTCTGAGAAAGGTTGTTTCCCCAGGTAGGGATTTTCCCCTGAAGTTAAGGAGGGAATAAAACCTCTTAACTAAGTGCCAGGCGGGTAATTAATCACTTTAACTATGAACAATCATGCTTAAGCTACATAATCTTTACTCCCTGGAATGGAGATAAGAAACGCCCTAACCTTTGGAATAGAGATTGATAGGATTGGAATCAACTGGTATAAATACAGATGTAACAAGACAGAACTTAGAAGACAGAACCTACACAGAACCTAGAGACAGAAGAACTTCGCTGGAGAGAACATGGCAAAGATCCTGGACAGGACCTGGCTACAGAACTTGGTTGGAGAACCTAGCCAGAACCTGGCTGAAGAACCTGGCTACAGAATCTGGTGACCGAACCTGGCTGGGGAACCTGGCTGGAGAACCTAGCAAGAGAACATGGACACAGAACCTGGCTGGAGATCCTAACCAGAACTTCGCTGGAGATCCTGAACAGAACTTGGCTGGAGATCCAGACCAGAACTTGGCTGGAGATTCTGGCTAGAGATCGTGGCTAGGCTGCTGATCAACTGAACGCTGTCTCCGTGTCATTCCTTCTTCGCTGACTCCGTCTACACCTTTGGGAACCCCTGGACCTGCTGGGGTTGGACCCCAGCATATTTTGCCTACGTACTGTTTTGCTTTTTCCTTTTTTCTTTTTTTGGAAACATCACAAGGAGTACGTAGTGAATTAACTGCTTTTTATAACTGCTCTGGTCATGAACATAGGAAAAATATAGTATTTCAAGACTGTTCTCACTGTACTGAACTTACATTAAAACAGACTTATAGAAATTGAAAATTCCTACTATCAGTAGCTTTCTGTGAATATAATAATTGTGTGATCTATAGAATTCTGCTTTAAGAACTGATAAATTAACTCAGAGATTAATAAATATGAGTCTAGCCATACTGAGGCAAACTTTTAACAAATACAGCAACTTGGGGATCAAATACTGTTACTTAATGGTGAAACCTTTTAATCTCCTGGTGCAGTGAAGTAAGTTCCACAAGTATAAGGAGGGCATTTTAAATAGCAATAAAATTAAAACTATTCTCAAATTTATGAATGCTTCATATATGCAATTTCTCACATGAACCAAGTGATCAGAACACACAAAGAAAACAAACTGAGAACTTGGTATATACACTTACTTTTAATACTTGAGAAAATATAAATCTGATACAAAAACTGCTGGCACAGGAAAGCATTACACAAATTTATATTCAAATAGAGTCAGTATGTGAACCCAGATGTAAGAATGTATCAGAACATCATAACAGCCTGCTATGGAAGCCTTTTAAAGAAGTAATAGACTTTAAAATCACAGAGATAAATAGACTGCAGAAGGAACAATAATTTTCTTTGCTCAAAAAATCTCCCTCATCCATTAAGAACTGTAAACTCACTGTGGGAGGAAAGTTAGAGGAAATCTAATTTATCAAGGCATTTTGAAGATATAAGCCTTAAACACCTAGTGTAAGGCCAAACAATGTAAAAACAATCAGAATTTCATGTTCCTCTGAAGATTAATTGGATATATTAGTCATGTTAACATAGCAAAAAAAACCCTATTCCATTCTTTTTTGAAAGTACACATTTCTTCTTCTAGTTACTTCAGTAATTTAAGCTTAATATTAACTTATTAAATATTAAACACAAAACTGCTTTTATAATCTTGCACTATTATTAAAAAGAAATAAAAACTTCTTTCCAACTTCAGCAATATATTTTTTTAATTGTGAAAATGATAGAGACTCTAGCCCTTCTTTAACAGCATTTGAAAATAAATTTGAAGAAAGTATCTTTCAGGTATTATTTCAAAAAACCTTTATTTTAGGGTATAATTCATACAACATGACTATAAATGGAGAAATTCCCTACTAATGAAAAATAAGGCAATTTACAAATGAATTTCCAATTTAAAAAAACACACATAATTCTTGGAATTTATGCGAGGTGTCTGGGATACTCATATTCCCGAAGACTCTCAACACAAAAGTTCACATATTGTAAAATTTACTTAGACTCATAACTTGGCTATAATATCATTTATTATTTTTTTTAATTCTAGAAGTTACTTATATAGAAGTATTGTTTCCTCTTACAAGGAAATAAACTCCTTCTTCTTCTTTGAAAGGTAAAATTCTTCCTCTTTGAAAGATGCATTAAATATTACCGATCATTAAAAATGGAAGCTGCTATCATTTCTTGAACATTGACTTCACCTTCCAAAGATGTAGATGTTATCTCTCAATGCCCAGATCAACAGGAGAACTAAGCCAAATATTTGGTGACTGTCTCTTTTTTGAAGAAAAGCATTAATTATCCCCAAAACTAGCTTGCATATATTTTTTATTTTAACTATATGCCTCAGACAAAAGGTCTCTTAGTGTTATACAGTCTTCTTACTTTTTAATCTATACAGCATTAGTAGTCAGCTTAAGATGCTTATTCTCTGATTGCACATTTGTGTAAACCATTATTTTTTCCTTAGAAAACACATGACAGTTTAAAATAGAGAAACACAAACCTCAATATTGAATATAATAACTGATAATACTGTAAAGTTATCAAAAATACCCCTAAAACTTCTGAAAGTACATTAATGTTTTAAATATTCACAATCTCTTAAAAAGCAATTTACAACATCATCTTAGATTGATGAAGTCTCTGTGGTAATACATGATATATTCCTTGGAGAATCTGACTACAGAGCAGGAAATGTTGCATATAAACTGTTACTTGTTATTGCAAAACTGAAGGCAGCATGATTTATAAAAGAAAATTAATGTAGTTGGAAGAATCTAATTAAAACTGGCACTATGCCTTCTAAAGAAAAATAACCACATGAAAGAATTTTTATGTAGCACCATTCTAAGCTTCTTTATTGCCTTAACTTTAAGACTGTTAAAATGTAATTCTGATGTTATATTAATGTAAAAATTCATATCTGCACTGGTAGGAAATTACGTTATTAAAAATATTTTCAATATGCTAAAAGCTACTAAATCAGTTTCCCCTTTCCCATTGCACAACATCCATCTAAAATGAAATGCATAAATTCTTATAAATAATAAAAACTTAGATTTTACTAAATTTCTGTTGACCTTTCAATACCTTGTTTCTTTTTTTAAACCAAAAATACTGGTAACAAAATATTACCAATGTTAATAAGTCGGTTAAAAAATAGTTCCCACTGGACCAGAGTGGCTCAGTGGTTGAGCATTGACCTATGAACCAGGAGGTCATGAGTTCAATAGCCAATCAGGGCACATGCCTGGGTTACAGGCTCAATCCCAGGTGGGGGGCGTGCAGCAGGCAGCTAATCAATGATTCTCTCTCATCATTGATGTTTTTATCTGTCTTTCCCTCTCCCTTCCTCTCTGAAATCAGTAATATATATATATATATATATATATATATATATATATATATATATATATCAGTTCCCTCTGATTTGGGAAGCTTAAAAAAAAAGTAGTAAGAATTCACCAAACCCAGAATAACACCAACCCAATGAGCAGCAGCCATTGGTACTTAGTGCTATTTGACCAGACAATCCTGATCAGAAAATAAAGTTAGGTGCCTTTTGAAAGACAAGTGCCAAACTGTTGCTATTTTACTAAAATGCAGCAGCTAATATTAAAAGCACCACCATTGCTACTAGCAGATATGCAACCTCTCTATAAAAATATAAACCTATACTTAATATTTAAAAATATAGCAACCGTAGTAATAGCTCTAGTAGTGTTATTTGACTTTACAGTCCCCTTAAAGGGCAGACATTAACAAAGATTCTATTATTCATATGAACCTTGTGGCAATTTTACAGCTGCCTGCCTCAAGATATGGAGACCTCAGCTCTGGAATTCTGATGAGCCCTCTCCTCACCACCCCTAGCTCCATCCCAACCTGCACCCCCATGCTACTGTACTTAATGTCTGAACCAATTTGGACAAGCACAGACAGAACCTTTTAACTTGTGAAGCTAACACATTCACTCTCTTCTTTTTCTGTGTGTTTTTTTTTTAAATGGCACATTTGTATTTATTTCCTAGGTTTCTTACTTCCAGTCATGACAAAATAGTGATCATCATCTTCCTTTTTCTTTGCAGTAGGCTTTTTATCCCCACTCACTGCTTCCTTAACAGATGAGGGTGGTTTCCTGGTGGGAGCTGGGGCTTTGCCACCTTTGGGAGGCCCTCTGGCTGAATGCGGGCCCCTGGTGGCAGTCTGCGCTGCCTTTGACACCGCGTGTGCTTTGGCAGAAGACTGAGGAAGACTCACGACGGAGAGCGGGGTGCGACCAGGGGACTTGGAGGAGCCGGGTCCTGTCTTCTGAGGCTGCTTTTTGGCAAATGAAACTACCTTCTTATCTTTCGATTCCTGTGCTTCTGCAGGAGTGACTGAGGATACAGAAAGTGGCTGGTTTAAGTTCAAGGCTGACTTAAGTTTCTGTGCTGGCACTGCCCCTGCTTGCAGGGCTCCGTCTGAAGGCGGAGACCGTGTTCCTAGACCTGGAGTTACGGTTTTGGAACTGGGTTTCATCATTTCTGCAGGGGACTGGACAGAAAGAGAAGGTTTAGGTAGCTTCGGACACTTTGATGATGAATTCAAATGTGCAGCTGAGTGACATACTGCATTATCCCTGGAGGATGTATGACTGTGTTTCAGATGCTTTAGCTGCGTTTTCCCTGAACACTTATTTGGCAAAAGTATAGATTCGGGCACATTTCTTGATTTCTGGGCTGAAGTAAACTTGGCCTTCGGAGTGTTGGGTGATGAGATACATTTTCTCAATGACTCAGATCCACAAGGTGCAGTTCTTGGTAAGGCTGGGGAAGAAGTGCTTTTACCTCCTAAAGTTAAAGAAGCAAGTGAAGACGCTGCATTGTTGGAAGGAGCCTGTGGCTTCTTTGCTGTGCCTTTTGAAGATTGGAGTTTGAGATGAGAAGATGCTGCTGGGAGATGTGGCGTTTTTGAACGGACTGACACGGAGCCCGGGTGACCTCCTTTCAGGGAAGGTGCTGGCAGCTTTTCTCTGCTCCTTGGAATACCAACTGGCGTGCCTGGTTTTGATTTTTCTTTCTGAATCATGCTAACTGCTGACATCGGATTCATTTCAGGAGGCTGGGGTGTTCTGGCAGGTGAATCGGGCACATTTTCATTAGAAACGCCTTTTTGAAACGCTAGAATTTTTTGTTCTAGTGTAGCAAACTGTAATATTCGACAGGGGTCATATTTAAGCAAAAATCCTTGAAGAGTATCCCAGCCTCCACCAACACGGACCATGACATGTTTTCCATGAAGCATCTTTCCCGCAAAAGAAAGTGAAAAACAAAGTTGTAAAACCGTAAGGTTCACAGTTACAATTCATTAGTTAGTAGTCACAATTTCTGATGTCTATGATCTATGAAATTCAGATATTTGCCAATAAATTTACTATAAATTGACACTCCTTCTTTGTATTATTGAAGGAATAAATTTAATCCATATCGAATCATGTAACTGACAAACAGTATCCCCCAATTTGTAAAACGGTATTTACACACAACTTGCATCCTAAACAATCCAAATGACTAATATACAAAGTTGCAAGGGCAATCTTGTTCAACAAAGAATTGAATATTGAAGGAAGAAAAGAGAGAAAAGAAAGGAGAAATGGGAATTTACAGGAAAAAAAGCCTCATAAAAAATAAATTATTATGAAAGATAACAATCACTAAAATGTGTACTTCACAATTTAATAAATTACTTTCATATGTATTATATCAATTTAAATCTTCAAAAACTTTGATATAATTTATTACTAGTTCTTTGCAGATGAGAAAATTATGGCTCTGAGCGATTAAGGAAATTGTCCCAAATCACACAGCTTGGCCTGGCCTCCAATACACCAGGCTTCCCCAACCCAAATGGTGCTTTTGTGCAGATAAGATACATCCTGAGTCTGCTAGCGCAGAACAAGCTGGATTTCAGCCCCTTGACCCCCATCCATTAAGCAGGAAAATCTGCACAACTGTATGAGATTGCCCTAAAAATTTCACCTCTAAACCCCATGCTCTGTGACTATCCCTACGTCATACTGCTTTAAAAAGAGAAAGCAAACTCAAAGAAAGTACACGTAGGTGTTTCTGCGTGTTGGGGGTCAGGGGAAGTAATGATAATATATAAAGTAAAAGAAAATATGGATGTCAAAATTATTTTTAAATACTTTTCTATTCTATTCCTAAGTTGGGAATAAAACAGCTCTTTTATCTGAAATAGACAGAATGCTGAACAGTGAAACTTCAATCTCCTCAGCAAAGGAGATGATCAGTTGCAGACTGCAGATGGGACAAAGGAAGGAAATGAACGTGTATATCAGCATATTGGTATATATACTGATGCTGTGTCGATGTAAAAAGGTCTTATACTTAACACACAATGTGTATATTACTACAAATAGCAATGTTTCTATTTTCTTTTCTTATTACATTTAATCAGATTAGATGTGTTGATTTTTTCTTATGATGATGAAAACTGATTCCTTTTTAGAAAATCTGAAAAATGGAATAAGTTACCTGAGATATACAAACATTTCCCTTCAATTATATTCGATGTCAGAATAGTCTCCTATAGTTAGCAGTTTGTTGTGTTAAAGATGTTAACCTAAATTCATTATATATTCATGAAAGCCATTTTTTTGTACAGTGAAATTCTTTCATTAATAACATCAATTTTTTTAAAAGTAAGAGCAGAATAAAAGATTGGTTAAGCAATAAATCCAATTTAAAAACAAGATCTGTATGTAGATAGAATTAAATTGTGGACTTACTCTTATAAAGAGTATTTTATCTCCTAGTCGGTACCGTCCTTCAGATAAGTATTCAATAGAAAACCGATGAGAACAACTGCAAGGGGGATCTTCAGCAATGTGTGTAACCTGAGATTAAAAATAAGTAACAGCTAGTGCTTGTGACAGAAAGTATTTTGTTCAACACTAAAATGCATGGTTATTTGATAGCTGGGAAAGTCAAACTCAAAGATAAAAGTTTAAAGACAATTCAACTTTTAACTATCTCTTCTCCTTCACTGGTTGACAAGTACTGAGATTCCAGGGGTGGGCAAACTTTTTGACTCAAGGGCCACAATGGGTTCTTAAACTGGACCGGAGGGCCGGAACAAAAGCATGGATGGAGTGTTTGTGTGAACTAATATAAATTCAAAGTAAACATCATTACATAAAAGGGTACGGTCTTTTTTTTTTTTTTAGTTTTATTCATTTCAAACGGGCTGGATCCGGCCCGCGGGCCGTAGTTTGCCCATGGCTGGACTATCTACATCTATCCCAAAGTTACTTTTAAAATAGGCAGAGACATTTATATCTATCCACCCAAGATTGGGTAAAATTCTTAAAAAATGCAATGCAAGAGGCATTTTCTAAAAGTGCTCACTTTGTTTCAATAATCTGCTAAGGAGATGAGAGTCGGGGAGAAAACCCTACTTCCACCCCTCAAGAAGCTTACAAAATTTTTAATTGCAGCAAATATCTATGAAATGATAACTAGAATATAAAAAACACTATAGACTTTTATTACATTAAACAACACTTTCCAAATGTCTATTAGTAATGACTTGTTATTTCCTTAAAATTTTGTAAATTAAGCACTTTCATAAAGTACTAGAATCCAAAAAGACCACAAAATCTAAGCAACAGCTGAAGCAGAAACAATGTTTGATACTCAGCTCACCTCCATTCCTTGTCATACTGTAGTCATTGCAGAAGGCAAGTGCAATTCTATTAACTTCTACGTAATGATAAACAGCTAAAGTTAAGAAGACTTTCCAGTTGAGACTCGCCATCTTACATATATTCTGTCACGGGGAGCGTCCAGAAAATCCCCACAACTTTCCGCCACCTATCTTCTCCAAGTACCAGTGTACCCTTTACTTAGACACCTAGGTAGCCCAGAAGTCTCTCTCCTTGTCAGAATTAGAATTCCTGCCAATCCTACCTTCTAAATAGAAAAATACCTGTGCTCCTTTTGCCTTATTTCCACTATTACTGCTCGAGTTCAGGTTCTCATCATCCTGTGCCTGGATTATTACAATAAACCAACATAACTTCTGCATGGCCATGGGAGTAATCCTTATCATTTACAAATCAGATGATAACACTACTATGTTAAAAAAAAAAAAAAAAAGAAAAGAAAAGAAAAGAAAGAAAAGGACCAATGAATTCTTATGGCCCATAGTACCCTTCATGATGGATTCTAGCTTTTTTGCCCCAACTCCATTCCTCATCTTACACAAGCTACACAAAGTCACCTTTATCATATAGTGCCTTGAACTCACCAGGAGTGGGAATGAGTACTAGTGTATATTCTAAGTAAGAAACATTCTTTTAAACATAGCATCACCTGTGGCAAACTCGAAGACTAACACATCATGGCTGCAAGTGTGGCAGCTACTTACAGCTTCATGCAGCTCTTCATGCTGACAGCACGATTTGGGGATGCTGATGGAATCTTCAGGCCCAGAAGTATTAAGTAAGGTCTCTTCTAACTCAATTTCTTTCTCAAGTTTTACTAATACTGGTGGCTCAACCCCATACCTGAAAAACAATGAGGAGATTTCATCATTCCAGCTGTCTTTCCCAAGCACTTCCTTTGCTATCACAATTGGGCTTATTTTATTTTTAAATGAAGTCTGTATGAGTCTCTTCCACCGATTATTTTACTGGCATATCTGCAAATGCTTTTTAATGTCCCACAGATTGCCAAAATTCAGATGGTAAACTTCACACCAGAGCACATATTTGGATTATTGAATGCTCTCAATATTCAACCAAAGGTTTTAAAAGGCACCTTAAAAATCAGCCTGTGAGTAACGATGGGGCTGAGGTAGGTGGGGAAGATGCAAGGCTCAGCGTTCTATCAGCTCCTCTTTGTGTCCAGAAGACTTGCCTCCCCTTGAACTGCTAAAAGGCGACATGCTCTTACTTTATTCTTAATATAAACATTTTAAGTAACCACTTTTACAGTTTTACACTAAATGAAGGCAAGTTATATGAGCAAGCAGATGTGGACACATGATATAGTTCACACAAACAGAATAAAGAAACAGAAAGAAAAAATAGAAAAAGTTACTTTATTCCAATAAAAATTATTCTTTTATTTATAGAAAATCATGTGCTATCTAAAATAAAGTAGCTTAAAAATACTTAGGACATTGAAATCCTGAAATATTGTGGAATACATACCTTGACACAATTCGACCAATTTCAAGAAGACAAAGATACACTTGTCTTGGATCTTTGTGCAAAACTGTGAAAAAACAAACAAACATATTCTAAGAGATAAAATTAAATAGAGAAATATATTTCTGGCATGGAAGAAGTAAAATAAAAGAATGATGAAGACATTACTTGTTGGGAGACTTTAAAAAGACACTTTTGTCATCTCCACATATTATCATTTTCCATTAATTTTTTTAAAAATGGTTGACAAGAAGAGGATGAAAACTTGCCATGCATCCTTATTTGTATAGCATTTTAATTCTAAAACAACTAAGGGCTTAGCTAACATTAAGTTATTTATAATTCAGACCTCTCAACAGGAGATACATTTGAAGAAATACATCACCTCAGTTTTATTCTAAACTACCTTTAGCACAGGACTATGTGGTAATGGGCTTCTTAAACTCTTCAAAAAAATAGAGGAGGAGGAAGCCCTTCCTAACTCATTCTATGAGGCCAATATCACCTTGACACCAGAGCCAAAAAAAGACACCACAAGAAAAGTAAAGACCAACATCCTAAGGCATTTGACAAAATCCAAGTGAATCTAAAAATCAAGTGGATAAATAATCTGATGAACAGAATTAACTGGTGAATATAATAGAATCAGGGGCATAGAAAGGGAGTGGACTGACAATTCTCGGGGGGAAAGGGGTGTGGGGGTGCGGGAAGAGACTGGAAAAAAATCGTACACCTATGGATGAGGACAGTGGGGTGGAGGACAGTGGGTAAGGGCAGAGCGTGGCGTGAGAACCGGGTGGAGGGGAGCTATGGGGGAAAAAAGAGGAACAACTGTAATAATCTGAACAATAAAGATTTAATTTTTTTTAAAAAAAACTTACTACAAAGCTATACTAAATCAAGACAGTATGTTACTGGTATAAAAATAGACATATAGACCAATGAAATGGAATTGAGCATGCAGAAATAAACCTGTGTGTTTATGTTCAATTGATTTTCAACAAGGGTGCCAAGACAACTAAATAAAAACAAGTTTTGCAATAAATGGTGCTAGGAAAGCTGGATGTCTACATGCAAAAGAATGAATTTAGATCCCTACTTCCACCATATATATAGAAAAACAAAAACAAAACTAAAAATAAATCAAAGGCCTAAATGTAAAAGCTAAAACTATAAAATTCTTAGAAGGAAACCTAGGTAAAAATCTGTGGGACCTGGATGATTAGGCAATGGTTTTTCAGATATGGCACCAAAAGCACAAGCAATCAAAGAAAAGATAAATTGAACATCCAAATTGAAAAGTTATGCATCAAAGGACACTACCAAGAAAGGAAAAGACAACCCAAATTATATTTCTGACAAGGGCCTGGTATCCACAATAAATAAAAATCTCCTACAAGTCAACGAAAGAAGACAAAATTACCCTCGGAATTGAGCCAAATATGTGTATAATATATTTCTCCAAAGAAGATATACAAATGGCCAATAAGTTTAGCAAAAGATAAAAAATATCTTTAGCCATTAGGGAAATGTAAAACACCACAATGAGATACCACTTCACACCCACCAGGATAGGATGGTAATATAATAATATGAAAAAGAAGAGGGGAGGAGGAGGAAGAAAGAATAATAACAAGTATTGATGAAAAGATTAAGAAGTTGGGACCCCTATGCACTCTAGTGGGAATATAAAATGGTATGCCCACTCTGGTAGTTCCTCAAAAAGATAAACATAGTTACCATATAATCCAACAATTCCACTCCTAGGTATGTGCCTGAGAGAATTTAAAACCAATGCTTACCCCAAAAAATTGTACACAAATGTTCATAGCAACATTATTCATTATAACCAAAAAGTAGAACTGTCCATTAGCTGATAATGAATTTTTTAAATGTGGTCTATCCATACAATGGAATATCATTCTGCCATAAACAGATATGAAGTACTGTTACATGCTACAACATAAATAACCATTATGCTAATTAAAGAAGCCTGACACAAAAGGCCACATATTGTATGATTGATTCCATGTATTTGAAATATATAAATCCATAGGGAGGAAAAAAATAGATCGGTGATTGCCACAGGATGAAGGCAGTGAGTAAATAATTGGGCCTAACTGCTAGGTATGGCTTTTTTTTTTGAGTGATGGAAATGTTCTGGAATTAATTAGTGGTGATGGTTGCATGACATAGTGAACATATTAAAAACCACTTAAGGGTAGGTACATTTTGAAGTGATGAATTTTGTTATATGAAGTATATCTTAATATTTTAATGCTATAAAATAGAAGCTTCACATACTTAAAATGGTTATGATTGTACACTTTGTTCTGTATATTTTACCACAATTAAAAAAATTTTAAATTAAAAAGGAAACTACATGCTAAGCCTAAGAGTCCGAAAAGAGATCTTTAAAAAAAATTAAGCAAAACCAAAAAAACCCCTGATTATTAGAACTTGTACTAAATGCACCAATATCATAGTAGTTGTAGATCACCTAACTTTCTTTTCCTGTTCTTAGAGTTAAAAGCTCTAGCAAACTCCTAGACCCTAATAATAGTTATGTGATAAATTGCATATATACTGACTTCCTGAACAGAAATGACATTGTTCTCTGATTTAGAAATAACATCTATTTATACCCCAAACAGAAAGCAATAAAAAGGCCTATGTTTGACTTTAAAATTAATACCCAAAGGATTTATTTTGAAAAATTTATTCAACTTGTTTCTCTGAACACACAGATATACTTTTAAATAGTGTATTTATTTTTTTAATTGCTTTGAGTTCCTAGTAAAATGTAAAAAATGAAGCTGCTCATCTCTCTGAGACCTTTAGAAAGTGAAAACATTAGCTCTTCAGCTCAATGCCTAGGAATGAATTAATGTTATTGGCAGTGCTTCATTTAGTTTATACTGACTGTAAGGACAGTGTGAAAATGTCTGCTACTGGGAATGAGAAATATACAATCTTATATCCTTTCAGAAGTAATAAACTGAAGAATTGAAAGCACTTCCTCTCCCCTCTGATCGATAGAGGCTGTACGTGCCATTAAATCAACCACATTATCAATAATGATCAGCACACCCAGATTACAGCAGGGTGCAAATTGGGGAGAAACATCAACCGAATCCATATTGTTTTTTATTCTCTAGTGCACAGGCGCATCCAGAGGCACAGTAACTGCGTGGCAGTGGGAGCAGCCACCCTGCGTGCAGGCAGCAAGGGTGTGCAACATCAGTCAAGAATTTTAAAACAATAATAAAACCGACTAAAAGTCAGTTTGGCTTTTATTATCACCATGAACCAGCAATTCTAAACAATGTCAGTGATAAAATACTTCTCTCTACCAGAGCACACTACCCTGCCCTTGGAATGCTTTGCTCCTATCAAAACATTATAAATTCTGTGTGTCTGTGTATACACATATATAGAGAGATATAGATAAATATGTATACACATGTATAAATGCTTTGAGGAAATATATAGTCTAAAACTTAGTTAGCTTTCACTGTAGTCACTGCACAGAGTATGTCAATAATTATTCAGTAGAGCATGACTTTTACAAATGAATTGTCAAAAACATTAATCCATTTAGATAATCAAGTTGGCAGCTACTGTTTACAAGGTAAATCTAAAACCATGAACCTGCATCCCTTAGTCTTCTGTTATTTCTATAATTATCTAGTTAAAGAGGACTTACTAGTAATTTAGACCTGGTAGAGTAATTCTTGATGAAAACATTAATTAGTAAAGCAATCCCCCAGAAACTTCCTGTAGCCAACTCATTCAGGAAGTAAAATATTTCTAGGGTATTCTAGATATATAAGATCTTTAACTATACATGAAAAGCTTAATATATTTAATTTAGAATCAGATTCAGATTCTCGAATGATTTCACATATACTTAAAGTGCACATTTTTCTAGGAAAATGAAATGTGGCATTAGAATCCTTATTTGGAAAGAAAAATTAGAAATGCGGTATTTAAAAAATCCTAATAAACATTAAACAAAATAACAACACTTACCTAAACCTTCAGATTCAAAGAGGTACGTCTCATCAACCCCAATGTGCCTACACCAGTGAAGGAAGTTCGCAGTATTGTCTCTAGCAAAGAACGAACCAGAGGCAGCATCTTTCTTACAGGGCACTTTTCTCATTGAAAAATTCTGGAAAAAACAAAAGAATAACTTCAAAAATGCATCATGGATATTTTTATTAGCTAACCATTCTAATCCCTAAAGAAATATTCAGTGCACTGAATGCAAGTAAAAAGTATACAACATTAGGTAGCTTCAAAATTATTTTGTCTTATTCTCCTTTAGTATAGTTCAGAAATGATCTGGTTAAAATTAGCAGTAGGATCAAAGCATTTCTAACCTCTTTCTTTTTGAAATGACACAAAAATCTTTTTAATTTAAAATAAATTAACTTTTAAAAATGACACTCTAATAATTCCAAAGTATATCTCCATACATAGTTCAATACCAACACAGAATTACTGTCCTGTTAAAGGTTAATAGACAACCTCATGTTTGCTTCCTTCCCTATTCGCAGATTCATAAATATGATTCTGAGTTTCCTGAGGAGACTATCAAAAAGGAAGTAGTAGTCCATTCTTAATTCAAGTTCTTTGAAAATTGATGATCTAAGTTTTACAGAACCCTAATTATTTGAGTATGTGAATCAAGAGTATTTAGATAATCCTGCTGAGGTTGAGAGGTTTTTAGTTTTATTTCAGTTTAAATTTTTACTTGAATAAGCAATTCATGCATATGATTTTTTAAAATGCATTAGTCATAGTAGACACAACGTAAGTGTCTCTCCCACCCTACCCCTCAGTTCCTCTCTCTCTAAAGATAACCACTATTACCAGTTCCTTATATACCCCTTCCTGTTGCTATTATTTTCCAGAATTAAAATAGTCTTGTTTCTCTAATGTATACAGAATATATGTCCAACATCTCCTTACCTCTGGTTCTTCAGAGCTGCAGGCCTTCACCATGTTCTGAAGAACATCAATCAGTTGGCATAACAGCACTCCATTATCAAGCTCTTCCAGTAATCTTTCTGCCTTAACTTCAATACCTAAGAACATATCCAACGTTAAGATTCTTCTAGAAATAGTAAATTCAAAGACTATGGTTAAAATTTAATTAAATGTAACTAGATTGTGGCTGAAATACTAGACAAATGTTAGATCAGACTATAATCATTCACTCTTCGAAGATACAGCAGAGAATGCCAAAATAAAAAATGACAACTGAAAAATGTCTGTGATGTAGTACAGGAAAAAATTATTTGACATGTCTTTTATTTCATTTTATTTTTAATTATTTTATTTTCTATTATTTCATTTTTAAAAGACCAAAGTGCTGTATGTTTCAATATTCACTATTAAGGTTACGTTTTGATTCACTGCGCATTACTACTGCTTACACAAGAAAAGTTCTCTATAAGTAAGATGGAATTTGTTGCAACTTAAAAAGTAAAGATAGTAACCTAGCAAAGACTCAGGGAATACTAACTTTTCACCTCTAAAATACCTTCTTTGGAAGCTTTATTACACAATAAACTTTAAAAAAGTTTTTTTCTAAATCAAACTGATACTAGATATCTGAAGTGCGTGTATGCTGTGTTTTAATTATCTTGGGAAGGTCACAGATGAGCTTCATATATCTTTTTCACAAAAACCCTGCAATGTTACATGAAATTCTGTACTAAAAAGAGAATTTTTCTGCAGAGAAAATTCAGGGCACTTATTATATTGTTTAACTGAATAAAGCAATATGATGCCAGATAGTCTCCAACCTGACATTTCCTCCTAGGTGTCATGAATAATCATTTTAACTGCAATATGAATGCCATTCAGAATCCCTTGTCTTATACAGGATTAAAGGGTGTGGGGTGGAGGGAGAATCAGTAAAATATAGATTCCCAAATTATACCTACATACTTAAAAAATGTTTTTAATATTAACAGTGAAAATGTTGATTATTCAAAACTTACTGACCTCTTCTATTAAGCCTCAAACTTCCTTACTATTCAAGCCCTGAGGATCAGGATGAAATAGAACAGTGGTTCTCAACCTTCTGGCCCTTTAAATACAGTTCCTCATGTTGGGACCCAACCATAAAATTATTTTCGTTGCTACTTCATAACTGTAATGTTGCTACTGTTATGAATCGTAATGTAAATATCTGATATGAAGGATGGTCTTGGGCGACCGCTGTGAAAGGGTCATTCGACCGCCAAAGGGGTCACGACCCACAGGTTGAGAACCACTGAAATAGAATATCCTCCCAACTAGAATATAAGCTTTGTGAGATTTCACTCACAGGAGTATCCCCAGCCTCTAGAACAAGCACTCCTTAACAAAGAATATTGTTCTCAATAGATGTTTACTAAATACAAGAATACAATTTTGAATGTCTTTTCAAGCCTTACCTAATAAACCAGATAACCAGATTGACAGATCTTCTTGCATGGGCAATAGGGTGGCTTTGTGCCTCACAGCTATCCACTCATCATACTGACAAACATCAGCCAAACCTGGCCCATGCCTGGGGGTCAGAGGGCTCCGTGGGCTTAGAGGCAGGTCTTCTCCAAACCACACCTAGAGAAAACGCCAACCAAATGAATGGGATGTGACCTTGTTAAGTCAGCATAACCCACATCTGTGTTTATACATGAATTACAGACCAGGCATAATACAATATATGCAAATATATATAAACTGGAACCAAACTATTAGTCGAGATACTTGAGGCATTGTCAATATCCACTACTTTGGTAAATGTAAGTGAACCCCCTAATTAATGAATGGATTCTACTATCAAGCCAAGAGAATAAAAATCAACAATTGATATTTTTACTTCACTTGTTAGATAAGTAAGTTTTATAAGTTACTTGACCAGAGTCTCAGCATCTTGGCTGTAAGATGGGTTAATGAACATTGCTTTATAAGATATATCCTTGTAACATCTAGCATTGGTCCTAGCCATATTTGTTCAACAATGGATAAACTGAATGAATGCATAAATGGCATTTTAAACTTTAAATCATAATAAGAGTATTATCTTTTAAAAAATATTCTAAATAATCTGGTCTGTCATCTGATTTTGCATGGCCCATAAGCTACTAAGTATGGTTTTTACATTTAAAAATGGCTTGTTATATAAGTACCTACATAATTGCCTCAAAGTTGCCTGTTGACTCTCAAAGCCAAAAATATTTACTACCTGGCCAATTCCTAGTTTAGAATAAAAATTGACATAAACATACTATCAAACCAGCACTTGCAAATTTTTAAAATTTTACAAAACTTTAACACAATATTATTTAGAGAAAAGACTATCAATACTCAATGCAGAAAGGGGAATAGAGCCGAAGTGAAATGACAGGCAGAGAGAGGGGGTGTGGGGAGAGGGTTCTTGCAGAAGGGTGGCTTGAAATAAAAAGTCAGAGTTTGAATGAAGTAAGAGAATTTCCACCAATGAGGACAGCCCTGGCTGGGCACAGAGTCAGATCCTGAGCAATATATAAGGAGGGTGTCCTTTGGGAACGAAGGGCGAAGGTCCCAGTGCAGGGTGTCAAAGCTCAAGTGAGCTGAGAAGGGCAGCAGCTCAGGGCGGGGTAGCAGCAACAAAGGAAGATCAGTTACACATAGGAAGATTTACCAAAGGGAACCAGGTTTCTCACTGCCAAAGAAGAATGGTACAAATATGGAATGAGAGAAAACTAGAATGAATCCTATGATGTTGCAATAGAATTTCTTTTACCAAAAAGCAAAGAAGTGCTCCACGAATGATGAGGACATGCCGAAAGGAGACAGACGCCAGCCCGCAGAGACTCTAGTGCAGTGATGGCGACCCTTTTGAGCTCGGCGTGTCAGCATTTTGAAAAACCCTAACTTAACTCTGGTGCTGTGTCACATATAGAAATTTTTTGATATTTGCAACCATAGTAAAACAAAGACTTATATTTTTGATATTTATTTTATATATTTAAATGCCATTTAACAAAAAAAAATCAACCAAAAAATGAGTTCGCGTGTCACCTCTGACACGCGTGTCATAGGTTCTCCATCACTGCTCTAGTGGCTAACTCAAAAGCAATTTAAACATCAAAATAATGAAATAAGTGGATAATACAAAAAATAAAATAAATATAAGTCCATCTATATATATATAAGCCTAAGTGACCATTCAACCATTCAACTGGTAGCTATGACTCGCACCGACCATCAGGGGGCAGATGCTCAATAAACAGGCATGGAAACATGGAACAGACTGATGAATCTGAGAGGGAAGGTGGGAGGGGGAGGGCAGGAAGAGATTAACCAAAGATCTTATATGCATACTAGAGGCCCGGTGCATGGATTTGTGCACCAGTGGGGTACCTCGGCCTGACCTGCAGGGATCGGGCCAAATTGGTGCACAAGTGCTCTGACATCCCCCAAAGGGTCCCGGATTGCGAGAGGGTGCAAGTCAGGCTGAGGGACCCCACCGGTACACAAATCCGTGCACTGGGCCTCTAGTATAGATATTAATGAATAAATTAGAATTTTGAGGAGGAATGACATTTTTATATAGTTTCAAAGTACTTCCCCCTAAAATAATTATTACAAAGGGGAAAAGAGAGTCATTTTACAATAGAGAAACCTGACAGGTGGCATCTTAACTGAGTGACAAAAGTGAACACCATTAATAGTGGGAGAACCAAAATCATAGGCCACTTGATAGGATGCAGAGAGAAAACGTAGCAGCTCTCTGTGACGTTGCTGCCAAAGATGCATAACCTGAACTGAATCATGAAGGAATATCAGGCAAATCCAAAATAAGGGACACTGTACAAAATAACTGATAATTAATATTCAAAGAGGGTCAACGTCATTAAGGGCAAGCAAAGGTTGAGATACTGTTTCAGACTGAGAAGGACTAAAGGGACATGACAATTAAATGAAACCCATGATTCTGAACTGAGCACTATTGGGACACCCGGCAATTCCTGATTGAGGTCTGAGAATTAGACAGTAGTACTGTGTCAGTGTGAATATCCTGATTCTCATTACTGCATTGTGGTTGTGTAGGAGGATATTCTTGTTCTTGAGAAATACACACTGAAGTATTTGGAGGCGATGGCACATTAGATTGGCAACTCATTCTGAAACGGTTCAGACAAATATTTCTGTGCTATACTTAACGATTACTTTGTAAATTTGTGATTACTTGAAAACAAATTTTTTAAAGTATAGGTACAAGTAATAACAATATCCTTTCTTGACTTTTAAATATAGTTCATTTTCTCCCTAAAATACATTAAACTTACTGAGGTTTATTTGAAGTAATTCTTACTTTGCCAAATCAAAAGCCATAAAACCATAGTTAATCCAGACAAATTATGGAGAAAACAACAGTAACTATTTCTAATCCCCCATGATAAGAAAAAAAACATGCTTTTGAAAAAAAAAAATCCCAAGAGCAAAGAAAGAACATGAATATATATACCACAAGAGGCAAGTAGGAATAGCAAAACTCAAAAAAAAAAAAAATCCAAAAAATAAGAGAAACGTAAGTTATTTGAGAGACATCATTTCAGGAATTGAGGGTAGGGTTTGGGAAATGAACTCCTAAATATCTAAGAATCCTACAAAGTTTTAGGAAAAAAGATAAGATTTTATTTATTTACCTAACTTCTCTTAAAATTATTTCAAAGGAAGTGCAGCAAAGATTTAATATCTAAATCTGTCCTTCATAAGCATGTATAATACCTAGCACATGATATTCAGCCAAAAATATTTGTTGGTATCATTAAAGAAATAGATATCAGCAAATGACTGATATCAAAATCAAGATGCATCTACAATCAACAGTATATTATAGTCAATGGAATATGTTATTTGTCCTTTAACTATTTGGCTGAACTGAAAATAGGCAGAAAGATGCAAATGTTTGTCAAGGCAAGATGTGCATTAGCTAGGAGGGTGGTTTTGAAATAAGAAGTTAACATTAACAAAGGTCATCCTAATATCTTCCATATGAGGAAGAAGAGCATTTCAATTTTCCTGTTATTGCAAGCAGAAGACTATAATAACCTGGGCTGGTCAGTAGCATATTAATGTTGTTAAAAGTTAGATGTTAGCCCTGCCGTGTGTGGCTCAGTGGTTGAGTGTCGTCCTGTGCACTGAGTGGTTTCCAGATTGATTCCTAGTCAGGGCACATGCCCAGGTTTCGGGCTTAATCCCCGGTAGGCTGCATGCAAGAGGCAGCCAATTGATGTTTCTCTCTCTCCCCCCAGCCCTCTCTCTAAAAATCAATAAAAACATGTATTTTTTTTAAAAGTTAGATGTTAATAATAAAAACTTTATGTACAAAGGTTGTTCTCAAACATGCAGAAAGTTGTCATATTGCAGAGATTCTTAATCCATAGGCAGTCTAGATGAACCTGAGTAGGTACATAAACTTGCTTACATTTAGGCAAAATTTTCTGCCTATGTACAAATAGCCCTTTTTCTCAGAAAATTCATACCTTTTCTCAGATTCTGAACAGAGGACTATAAACTAAAAGAGATCAGGAACTATTGTACATTGGTTGTTAGACTGTACTTTTATATACTAGTCAAAATGAAAGACCAAAAGAAAAAGGCAAGTAAGATCATAATGTATTAAATTAATAAGAACCAATTGATAATAGCCATTTACTGATAACTCCTCTCTGTAAGGCACTTATGAATAACTAGATAACTAGTATAGTTAGCAGAGAAAGAGGTTAATATCCTGGGAAGTTCTCACATTCATCACAGGCAGAGAAGCAAAAATTTCCTTGAGAGATGTCAAGAATGTGTCCAGAGAAGAATCAATATAGATGGATCTGTGGAAGCTAGATTATAGAAGGTTTTATGGAACTATGAGACAAAACTATGAAAATATTCACAAAGTTAAGAATATATTAATGGCCATTAGTGTAGAAATGAGAAAATCATGGTCAATGTGGCAATGATAAAAAAGCACGCTATAAGAAATCAAAATATATAATCAACATGAAACTTATGACATTTCTGAGACTTGGATAAAAAGAGAACACAAAGAATAGTCAGATAATGAACGGTTTGAGTAATACAGTTCTGAGCGTACTCAATATGGTTTGAGAAGACTAAAGGGGAAGACTAAGGCCTTCTAGGAGACTGCCATGGATTTCCAAGTCCCACGAGGAAAGCAGGATAATGGAACTCTTTATTAGTGGAATAGAAGGATAAGCCGCATAGCATAGGAGGGGGCACAAGCAGGATCACATTCAGAGTTGTTCTTAACCGCTTGATAAATTCTCTTCTCTGGCTATCATCCACTGTTAGCTAGATAAGCCTCCTTTCTTAATAAAATAAAAAAGAAAACGTAAAAAGAAAGACATGCATGACCCAGGTATAGTCTCCAGTTTTACATCTTGATAATTTTGTTGGACAAATGATACAACCAAACTTATGAAGTGCTTATTATGCAATACACATTCTAGTAGGCACTTTGTGCATGTTATGTCACTGATTCCTCACAACTATCCGACAAAATAAGTGCAATGACCCTCACTTGAAGCATGGAAGCAGACATTCGGAGAAGTAAAATAAAATAACTTGTCTGAATCTCACAGGGATGCAGAACTATGATCAGAAATGAAATCTGACAGACTAAAGCTTTCACTTGCCAAATTTTATTATTAGCTGCTTGCATCTTTTTCGTAGGCCTTCAATGTGATTTTTGTCTTTAAGTGAATAGTCAATCATGTTCTATTTATAGCCAAAGAAAAAAATAACTTAAGAGGATATCAGAAAAATATAGCAAATACTGTACCAAGCCTGGAAATCATTCAAATGTAAGATCATTCTGGTTTATCTCATTATCCTCATCTTGCTTTCCCATCCCCACCCCCCAAAAAACAGAGAAACAACAACCAAAAAAGCCCTCTTTAAATTTTAATAATTGGTTATTTATAGGCATTATGAGGCACATGTACAATTATCTAAAATAAAAACTTTATATTTGTATTTACTAAAAGCTTTTTAAATACAAATATATACTAATTGTAATGAGAGGAACACCATAACATATTCGACTTCTTTTCCCAGGATAGTATAAATAAGATGGGCCCACCAACCCTAAGGTATTTTTTATTCTTATAAATATTTAATATAAGCCTAGAATTAGAATCCTTTCAGAAATAGAAAGTGAAAATATAGTATTCCTGTTATGAAAAGTTGATGCTTAAAAAACTAGCACAATGAAAATATTTTGATAATTTTAGTATTTTACTAATTATTATAATTTTATTCTATTAATTTCATAAAAATATTTTTTCCAAAACACTTACTTGAATTGCAGGCTGCATGGTCAGTAATACTCAAATCAAATTGCTTTTCTGAAAATAGAAGAAAACATTAATATGCAGACAATGGCAGCTTTCCTACTCCCCCAAAACTTCAAATTATAAGGAATCTGTTTTACTCTATTTGATTGAAAACTTAAAACTTTTTCTTCTAATTGGAATCATTTGACGATAAGATCAATAATCATTCCTAGCTTCTTACTTCATAAAAGCACTCTTCATTTGAAACAGGAAAACATGGACACATTTTAATATCTAGTTTCTGATACTAGCACCAAAGTGATTCTTTTTATTTTTCCTAAAATAGAGAAAGGATGCAAGGCAGGGAATAGGGGTGATGTGTCTCAAGGGTCCTAGTGCACTCCGTCCCCTCCCCCCTTTTTAAATTTAGTAATCTACCAAAACAGAAAAGGCTGTGTAATGGGAGCTCTAACTAGCTGTATGATTGCAAGCAAGCCAAGTCTTGAAACATCTGGCTTCAAAGTAATTCTTGAAGCTTCTGGCTAGCAAAATAAAATTAACAATAACACTTAGCCAATAAGTCTTCCTAATTCTCCCCTGTAAACATAATGTAAACACATATATCACAGCAACTGAAACAAAAAGTTAAGTATCTCCCATCTGACCTTTACATAGAGGTCATAAAAGTTCATCTGGACTTTGTATAACTTCACAAGCTTAACCATGAGCTTCTTTTGCCAAAGGAAAAGGTAATAGACACAAACATCAATTTTAACTATGAGACAATACTCAATGCCTTTCTATAATTTATCATAAATTATTTCCTCTACTAGGTGCTAAAGATAACAACAACAAAAGAAACAGCACAATTTAGCTCCAAAGTACTCTTCTTGAACTCTACAAGAAGGAAAAACCACAACTTTTATTATGCTAGGTTAATAAAATTCTTTAATGCATTTTTAGAGAGGAAAAGAAATGAAGAGTTTAAAAACACTCAGAATAATTAGACTATGTAACACCTAGAAAGCTTCACTGCTTAGAGCAGTATACTAGTTATTTTTTATTGTAAACCACCATTAAAGGAGTCTAAGGAAAAAAATCTAGTTTATAAGGCTGTAATGCTATCAATTTCCAAGGAAAAGTTATTTTCTCCTCCAAGTTACACCAGACAGACCTCCTATACAGGCCAACTACACATACAGCCTTCCTCCTTTCAGGGACATTTCTTCTGGTGCTGAAGTTGAACTTGAGCTAAACCTAACTGAAAAGTCTAATATTACATCATATTTTCTTTGCGGGAAGGCAAAGGATAGCAGAATGTCCTTTTGATGTCATTTTTCCTCTCTCCACCACAGCAAAAGGGCAAAGTACAACTGGGCATTACTAATGAGCTTGTTATGCTTCCCACGAGCCAAGTCAGTGGGGAATACATTTTCCTTTAGCATAAATAATCCTTTGTCCCCAACAAAGATCCACAGTAAGAAGCTTCCGAGACCATTTTTTAAAAATGCAGCAAAGAAGCTGCTCCCATTAAAATAAGGAGTCCCACACAATCAGACAAGAACTTTAACAGTTGGAACTGCCAACCCAAAACAAAAGAAGGCCTAAATGACCAGGCGTGTGCAAATCAGGAACAGTGATGCTTTCACAAAGAAGCTATCACAAGAATGTTTAATCGTTGCATTTTTATAGAAAATTCAGCAAAATTAGTTTTATGAAAGAAATGAAGAATTTGTGCACAACCTCCAGTCACTTGAACTTTAGCAGAAAGTTTTTTGAATTACACTTCTTGTGCAATGGAAAAACTATTTTATAATGATGACAATAAGAGAACCATCTGAGTTACCTTTAAAAACAAATTCTTTCGTAAAATACTCAGATAAGTAGGCACTCAGGTAAGTTTTAGCACACCTTCGTATATGAAAAGTATCATGTACACAAATATATGCTTTTATATGAAAACTTTTATTAAGTGATGAGATTGTATCAGTGAATCAACAATTAATGAGTACTCATCGTGTCCCAGATAGTTACTGATATTTTCTGGTCCCTCACTATCCTATCTAATAAAAGAGTAATATGCAAATTGACCATCACTCCAACACACAAGATGGCCAGCAGGGGAGGAGAGTTGTGGGGGGACCAACCCTACAGGGGAGGGAAGTTGAAGGGACCAGGCCTGCAGGAGAGGGTAGTTGGGGGGGACAAGGCCTGCAGGAGAGGGCAGTTGGGGGGACCAGCCCTGCAGGAGAGGGCAGTTGCGGGGGGACCAGCCCTGCAGGGGAAGGCAGTCAGTGGGGGACTGGCCTGCAGGGGAGGGCAGTTGGGGGGCCAGGCCAGCAGGGGAGGGCAGTTGTAGGGGACCAGCCCTGCGGGGGGGCCAGGCCAGCAGGGAAGGGCAGTTGGGGGGACCAGCCCTGCAGGGGAGGGCAGTTGGGGGGGACCAGGCCAGCAGGGAAGGGCAGTTGGGGTGAGCAGGCCTGCAGGGGAGGGCAGTTGTGGGCGGACCAGGCCAGCAGGGAAGGGCAGTTGGGGGGACCAGCCCTGCAGGGGAGGGCAGTTGGGGGGCCAGGCCAGCAGGGGAGGGCAGTTGTAGGGGACCAGCCCTGCGGGAGGGCCAGGCCAGCAGGGAAGGGCAGTTGGGGGGACCAGCCCTGCAGGGGAGGGCAGTTGGGGGGACCAGCCTGCAGGAGAGGGCAGTTGCGGGGGGACCAGCCCTGCAGCGGAGGACAGTCAGAGGGGGACTGGCCTGCAGGGGAGGGCAGTTGGGGGGCCAGGCCAGCAGGGGAGGGCAATTGTAGGGGACCAGCCCTGCAGGGGAGGGCTATTGGGGGGGGGGGAGGCCAGCAGGGAAGGGCAGTTGGGGGGACCAGCCCTGCAGGGGAGGGCAGTTGGGGGAGACCAGGCCAGCAGAGAAGGGCAGTTGGGGTGACCAGGCCTGCAGGGGAGGGCAGTTGGGGGGGACCAGGCCAGCAGAGAAGGGCAGTTGGGGGTGACCAGGCCTGTAGGGGAGGGCAGTTGGGGGGGACCAGGCCAGCAGGGAAGGGCAGTCAGGGGGGACCAGCCCTGCAGGGGAGGGCAGTTGGGGGGGACCAGGCCTGCAGGGAGGGCAGTTAGGAGTAATCAGGCCCGCAGGGGAGGGCAGTTAGGGGCAATTGGGCCTGCAGGGGAGGGCAGTTAGGGGTGACCAGGCTGGCAAGGGAGGGAAGTTAGGGGTGACTGGGCCAGCAGGGGAGGGCAGTTGGGGGCAACCATGCCTGCAGGGGAGGACAGTTAGGAGCGACCAGGCCGGCAGGGGAGGGCAGTTGGGAAGGACCAGCCCTTCAGGGGAGGGCAGTCAGGGTGGACTGGCCTGCAGGGGAAGGCAGTGGGGAGGACGAGACCAGCAGGGGAGGGCAGTTGGAGGGAACAAGGCCTGCAGGGGAGGGCAGTTGGGGTGACTGAGCTGGCAAGGGAGGGATGTTAGGGGTGACCAGGCTGGCAAGGGAGGGCATTTAGGGGTGACTGGGCCTGCAGGGGAGGGCAGCTGGGGGCGACCAGGCCTGCAGGGGAGGGCAGTTGGGGGGAACCAGGCCTGCAGGGGAGGTCAGTTAGGGGCAATTGGGCCTGCAAGGGAGGGCAGTTGGGGGCGACCAGGCCTGCAGAGGAGGGCAGTTAGGGGTGACCAGGCCAGCAGGGGAGGGCCATTAGGGGTGACCAGGCTGGCAGGGGAGGGCAGTCAGGGGCAACCAGGACAGCAAGGGAGGGCAGTTAGGGGTGACCAGACTGGCAGGGGAGGGCAGTTAGGGGCAATGAGGCCAGCAGGGGAGCAGTTAGGCATCGATCAGGCTGGCAGGGGAGTGGTTAGGGGCAAGCAGGCAGTCAAGCAGGCAGGCAAGTGGTTGGGAGCCAGCAGTCCTGGATTGTGAGAGGGATGTTCCAGATTGGAGAGGGTGCAGGCTGGGCTGAGGGACACACACACACACACACACACACACACACACACACACACCCGTGCATGAATTTCGTGCACCAGGCCTCTAGCTCTCTTTATAAACTATCATGTGTCTCAGGCAGTTAGTCCCAAGAATAGCATCTTTCCTATAGTCCCAGTCCTCAATCTGCACCACAATCAATTCTTGATTGCTTCTCACTGGTTTTATTACCTATTTTCCTCTCTTCCCTGAAAGTCTTGGTGTCTACTTTTTCCCATAAATCAATCATTCTCAAATAGAAACATTTTGTTTTTGAAGCTACATATTAACTAGTAACTTATTGGCTTTATTTTGTTCCTGTTTTTGTCTCTGTCCTTTTCCAGAAGCCTATTCAAGTCTTTGCCAACTTGAGGAAGTCGCTTTGGGGGGAAAAGACCTCTCACATGACCATGACCAAGTACAAACTATACTCTGACCCTGCTGGGAATCTCTCACAAGACAAAGAGCTTCCGTAGACAACATAAGTGAAGACTACTACACTTGATTTTGAAACTTGAGGGAAATGTTAGGGACATGGAATATGCTCATCCCCCTGAAACCTAACTGGATTTGGGCCTAACCCACTCATCTTAAAAAGTCTCAGTCATGAGGCCCTCAAGGTTACATATGGTAGGCTCTTTATACCAATCTGACTCCAGATCATGGTGGAAGAAAATGCCAACCTGTTGAACTGAACCTTTGTCCCATAGCTGTAGGCTTTGAAATTGAGTACACTTTTATTCCTCACCCATTATAAAATACAGTGGGGAGAGCATGAGGTGGCATGTCTCAGTGCTGGTGCAACTCGGAGATAAGTTTAGAAAAAAATGGCAAAAAACGTGGGAAGGTTTCTTCAGAAAAATAGTAACATGAGCACCACTGCAACACAAATACTAGTACATTCAGCACTCAGCCACCAGATCACTGTCAAGATACATAAGCTGCAAGGATATGGCAAGTGCCAACGCAGGAATAGAGGCTACTACTGAGGAGACGAGGAAGATGAGCTCAGGGAGGCATGCACAGAGGCCTTTCAACAGTACTGGTAAGATTCTATGTCAGGATAAGTGGTGAGGACACAGGTGTTATAATATATGTCTTTCTAAATGTCAAAGAAAA